TATATATATATATATATATATATTTATTTATTTATTTCCAAAAAAGTATATACACTATTTAGGATTTATACAATCGTACAATAATTACTCTGCCCTAAGTACAAAAGAATAGCTAAAGCAAAAAAAAAGAAAAACCTGAAGAACTCTGTTCAATCTCACACTCCTGATCCTTTGCTCTAACATAAAATTATTTAGCCATATAAAATGGGCTAAAAAATTCAATAGGTCATAAAAATCTATAATTAAACTCAACATAAGATAAATGATCAATATATATGTCAGCAATCTAATCTTAACAGAAACATTTCATGATCATAAATCTATGAAGAAATAATAAAGCTTATATGCATTAGTAGTAGAATATATAAATAATAAAATAATATAATACAAAGGCTAATAAATCAGTATGAGTGTCAAATCATTAAAGCAATCATCATATCAGTAACATCAATCAATAAAGAAATCATATAAATCGATGAAACTAAAGTATCGATAAATACTATCAAAATCATACCAATGTATGAGTGTACAATACTATCAATGTATTATATATCAATATCAAATCAGTATCTTACATGCTCAGTATGTCATATGCTTAATACCAATATAATTAATTAATAATATCAAATATTATCGGTGCCTATATCAGTAGCAATAACAGTTCAGTGGTAGGAGCGATAAAATAATACAATAATAGTAAATTTGTGTAGAAATATTAAATTTGTATAATAAAAAGAATAATACCTTAATAATATATATTCAGTAGTTACACTAAATAAAATAGAATTTTGGCTATTACGATATTTTTTAGTAATTAGTAATTAGTAGTCGATAATCGTTGGTTCAGTAAACAAAGTCGTCACTCTTTACCCGTCAGCATAATAATCAAGTTCTTATAACTCCAAATCAATGTATCATGTGGATCAGTCAAGAATTATACCAAATTACATATTTAAAGAAAAGTTTGTTGACCGACCATCATATATAAATCAATCAATCTCCAACTAACAGGTCAACTAGCTTTTATTTGTCTTTTACATATACATTATTATAACTTTATTATAACAATAATAATGATCAGTTGGTATTCAATTACATATTCACATCCATTTTCAATAGATTGTAGTGAATAAAGTATAATCGGCTTAATTCAGAAAGTGCCAAAATATCCTAACGGTAGGCAACAAAAAATTCTACAGAGTAAAAATTCACATTTTCAGAAATTAATCAAATTACCAAAGATTATATATAACAATATTATGAAGCTTTTATTGAACTAAAGTACTATTGTTAGATGTCAAAATAATTTTTTTAGTAGATAAAAATTAATGTTTTTTTCAAAATTACCCAACAAAAAATATCAAATAAATAAATCTTTACAACAAATAAAAAGTTACGTAGTCAAAGTTTTACTAATATAAAATTATTCTTATTTTTTGTAATGAAAAAAAAAGTCCAGGAAACTATCAAAAACACGATATGCTTGAAATAAAAAATAGGGTAATGGTTCCTTATAGCGACGCGAGTAAATCTCCCAATACGACCGACAAACAAAAATCGCTCCAAGGTCTCCAAATCTAGTTTTCTTTTCTTTCTCCTCACATTTTCTCTCAAAATAGGATAATACTTTTACTGATTTATGAATGATTTCAGTATGATTGCTTTATAAATTTATTGATTATTACATCTACTATGTTATCATTGATCATTTTGAGACTTAGGGCATCTTCAACCGAAAAACTCATTTTTCACTCCAAAATGCAGTAACTTATCTCCAACCGAACTCGATTTTCTAACACAAAAAAAGAATATTCCTAATATAATCTTTCCCATGTTTCATTTTATATATATTTTAATCATAAATGTTATTTATCAAATTTTGAATTAAATCTATTATAATTAAAAAATATATATTATTTATCTCATTGAACTTGGCGGAGCCAATACAAATCTTCCAGATTATTAGATTGTCATTACTTGTTATTTTAATGTTTTGTTATTCGAATGTATTCTATATTTTGATTTGTTTTTTTGGTATTGTACTTCTCGATATCTTTTATGTATGAGAATTTCATCTTAATTTTTATCTTAATGTT